TAATACCTAGCCATGGGAGACAACAGGTCTACGGGTTATAAGCTCACAGCTCGATTGGCGTAGAGCACGAGCGCCACAAATTGTCTCTGACGGTGCAAGGGCACCACCGGGTTTTCAATGGTTTGCTACTGCCCGCCTCAAGCCAGGCAGCCCCTGGTCAAACAGATGTAAACTCGCCAAAACCCACCTGCGTCTCACAATGGTTGCACGTGTATCCTACTAAGGTCGCAAAACATATATGAATCGTTCCAGTACCACAAAGGCTAAGTGTGACGGCCGGCAAGCAGATCCCAATCTGTCTCTGCAATCACATTAACGAGCTGGATCTGCTTCCCACTACCTTGTGGGTCAGGCTATTGAGCTAAAGGCTCAGGACAGAGTCCTTCAAGCAAACCAAATCACCTACTGCCTTGCGGGTCAGGTTATTGAGCCAATGCCTCCGGTTGGAGTCCCTCAAGCAAACCCCGAAGCACAACGACCACCTCGCCAGCGATTGCCTACCAAAACAATCATATGCACACGTGCAAAGCACTCAGCATCGGGTGTTGGAACGTGTGCACAATACTGGACTGGAACTCCAGTGAGTGCCCCGAGCGATGCACTGCACTCGTCGCGATGGAACTGGCGCGTTAGCACATTGATATTGCGGCGCTCAGTGAAACCCGGCTCGTTGAGCAAGGTAAGTTGCATGAAGCAGGTGCTGGCTACACATTCTACTGGGTGGGCAACGCCGCCTCAGCACCACGTGATCATGGGGTCGGATTTGCAATATCCGATCGCCTCCATGGCCAGCTCGAGGGTGAACCAACAGGCATTAGCGCGCGACTGATGTCTGTTCGCCTATGACTCGGAAGTGGTAAGGTTGCGACTTTTAGTAGCATGCACGATCCGACCATATGTTATCCTGATGAAACGCGTGATCAATTCTACACTCGGCTATCCTCCGTGATATGGTCTGTGCCGAGGAGCGACCGACTAGTTCTGATGCGCAATTTCAACGCGTGCATTGGGCGTGATCCATCGGTGTGGACAGATGTTATCGGACCGCACGACATTGGTTCAGCGAATACGAACGGTGACAGACTGCTCGCACTGTGTGCCACGCACGGCCTGACGATCACGGACACTCGGTTTGCACTGAGTGAGAGTGATATAGCAACATGGAGGCACCCACGGAGTGGTCACGCTCGTCTGCTCGACTATGTCATCGTATGTCGGCCTGATATGCCTGAAGTGCGCATGACACGTGTACTGCGTGGAGATGAGTGTGGCACTGATCATAAATCGGTGCGGACCAAACTGTACATATATTTTCGTAAATCTATGTATTGCATTCCCGCCATGAATCGCAGTAAATCTAATATTCTCTCCCTCGGTACTGTAGAGAAACGTATTGAGCTGGAGAAGCCAATGCCTGCACGCTTGTGTGATGTGGACTGCATGGCCACAGTGGGCAACCTGTGGCACCATATTCGCGAACAGGTGACAGCCGCTGACGATAAGACAATCGGACGCGCAAACTGTAAGTGGTCTGATTGGTTTGAGGAGAAGAATGCGACGATTAGCGCATTGGTGTGTGAGAAGAATGAAACATTTGCTGAACCTGTCGCAGACCCCAGTGACTTGGAGAACAAGAGTCGGTTTCACAAACTTCGACGGCGACTGACCTGAGAGCTCCGTCGCATAAAAGTGCATGGTGGACGGAGCAAGCGAGGCAGATGGGATGCTATCCCGAACGCCGCCAACACAATGAATTCTATGACTCCTTGGAGACAGTGTATGGACCAAGATTGGAGCCGCTGAGTACGTAGATGGATGGCAGTTCAGGCGCTACCCAAACACAGACTGCAGTAATAATGCAGATCTGGAAAAAACACTTTGTCTGTCTCCTTAACATCAGTTCAGAGATCGACTGGCCTACCTTGAACGGCCTCAAGCAGCACGATGTGAAGACCAGTCTGGAGGACACGCCGACAGTGGATGACACGCCGAGAGCACTTGCTCAGCTACGAAACGGCAAGTGTGCTGGGGCCGACGGCATCGCGCCCGAAGTATTGAAACACGACGGACGCGCGTTGGTGAATGCCTTGCAACCCTTGATGCAACGCGTGTGGTTTAAGAAGGAGGTGCCTCCTGAGCTGAAGGATGCCCCTGTGCTACCACGGTACAAGGACAAAGGGAGCAAGCAATTTTGCACGAATTATCGTGGCATCAACTTGCTGAGTTGTGTGGGCAAGGTGATTGCCCGAATCCTGCTCAACCGCCTCGTCATTCAGGTTGTGGAACTTAAGGTGACGGAAGAGCAGTGTGGATTCCGTTCGACTCGCAGCACTACAGATATGGTGTTTGCGGCTCGTCAGTTGCAGAAGTGCAGAGAACAACACCAGCCGCTGTACTCGCTTTTTGTTGATTTCGCCAAGGCATTTGATACGGTGAACCGCGAGGCATTGTGGCTGGTGTTGGATAAATTTGTTGTCCGAGTAAGTTTGTAAGTTTAATTGAATGTCTGCACAATGGTATGCGAGCGAGGGTGCAGCTGAGTGGAGAGATCTCGGATGACTTTGCAGTTGTCTGGTGTGAAGCAAGGCTGTGTCTTAGCTCTTGCCCTGTTTAATATATATCGTCATGCAATGATGTCTTGTGCTTTTGATGTCGCTTGTGCTTACAGTGTTCGTGTGGAGAACCGTATTGATGGTGGGTTGCTGAACATCCGTCGTTTCGGTGCGAGAACCCTAGTCTGTGAGACAACTATCCGTATGTTGTTGTTAGCTGACGACTGTGCGTTGTTTGCACACAGCGCGGATGAGTTGCAGCACATGACTAGTGCTCTGGCTTCGACAGCGGCTAAATTCGGGCTCACCTTCAACAGCCATCAGCCTTCACCGGAGGTTCAATCTGCAACATTCCCGCGAATCAGCATTGGTGCTGAAATTTTGGAAACCGGTTCCCGCTTCAGCTACCTTGGGAGTGTTATGTCCACTGACCAGCAGATACAGAGTGAGCTGCGTATTCACATCTCGAAGGCAGCGACGGCATTCGGGAAGCCTGAGTATCGAGTGTGGAACAACCATCAGCTTACCATAAGCACGAAGCTGATGGTGTACAAATCCATTGTGCTGTCCGTTCTTCTAAACGCCAGGGAAACGTGGTAGATGTACCGGCGGGATGTGCGATATCTCGAGCGGTTCCATCAGCAGTGTTTGCGACGGATGTTGCGCATCGGATGGAGCGACAGAGTTGCTGACACGGAAGTGTTGCGACAAAGTGGAATGTATGCAGTGGATTGCATACTTTTGCTGGGACATCTGAGGTGGCTCGGTCATGTGAGCCGTATGGATTCGACGCGGATACCGAAACAACTATCAAATAGTCAGTTGAGTATGGGGAAGCGGCATGTGGGGAAGCCAAAGTTACGTTAACAGGACATGATCAAAGTGAAGCTCTCAAGTTCCAATCTTGATTGCAGATCATAAGGAATTGAGGGCAGTTGATCGGCGTGCATTGCGCGATCTGATCACGAAGTCAGTTTCCGAAGTGCGGGAGAAAGACCTCATGCATGCGGAGAAGAAGCGTCAAGTGCGGAAGCGGTACGCGCCGATGGGTTGTACTCCCTGGACATGGGGCGCATGATGCTGTAGCACATTCGGTCGCGAGTGCGTGAGTCAGGACGACCTAGTGAGCCATGAGCGAGGCCACTGTGGGACCACCACCGAAGCGACGACCAGTTCTGCAGAGAACCTAGGCAGAACCGGCGCAGTGTTTGTAAGTACGCTGCATTCGATTTACTAACCGCGTGCTTGCATGCTGAGTCACTTTATTTCAGGTGGTGGGTTTTCTATATTGTCCTAATGCTTTCTTCTCATACTAATCATCATCATCATTACACACATCAGCTAGAGGTGAGAAAACACCGCTATGGTGCCGTAACTCACATTAATGTCTATCTGAAATGTCTTCCATAAACGTACACACGTCGCTGAAGCTCACTGCAGTTAATTTCTATAACATTTTTGTGTTTGTGGCATTCCTTAAAATATCTTGTCTGACCGCTTGAACTTATCACGCACTCGTCCGTAATTAATTTATTTATACGCTCAGCTAGTGAACAGTTATGTCTCCGTAACTATATGCATTATCAGATTTATTTGAATTCATCGTGTCGTTTCAAGTGATTGGCTGTTGTTTAACATCCCAGGCGAGGTTGCTTTTGATGTGCATGTCGACAAGGTGCCTACCTGTTTATTACCCACTACCTCGTCCATACTGGCTCCAGGAGACAGTTGGACGGTGCTGAAGGGGACGGGATGCAAGATTCTTGTAGCCGTGCTAGGCTCGAAGTGCGGTTCCATGCACTCAGCGTGGAGCGGATTACGGTCCAGCGACCGCCTTGTGTGCACTTGATTCCCCAAATACAGCGTGCTTGTGTTTGCCTGTGAAGGTGTGGGCCGGCTCCGTTGATAAAACGCGGCTCCTATCCACATGCCTCCTGGTCTTATTTCTTCGGGTTTACACTGGACATAGGGTGTGTGGATGGAACTGTGGGTGGTGCATCGCAAGCCACCCATGGTCCCACTGTAGGCACAGGGGTCCTGTGACTGGCCACATTGACAGTTAAATCCGAAACCGGATGTCGCCAAACATATCAAAATACTGCCATACAAATCAGATGGGGATGACGGTGGATAAGTGGGATGCTATGCAAGTAACTGCGCTGTTCTCGTGCAGACCACCAATTGACCGGGCAATTGGGACACCATTTCGGAAATTCATCTATTCAAGGTGGTGACATAGTGTGGAATACAGACGCACAATTTGGCGTAGCAAGCAATGGACTCGAAATCGAATCAAATGGAATGGAATGAAATCAAATGTTCCAGAGATCAGGTTATCTCAATAGCCGGTGAAAGCGTCCACCGATTTTTGCATACATCACAAACAGCTCAGTAATTCGAAACTGTAATCGGATGGAAGAATAATAAGTCAACGCCGAAGAATGCAACCTAAGAAGAAACATCATGGGATGTCATGTCTTGAAAAGGGTCAAGGCCAAGTAAGCCATTTTTCAGCCAGGAAGATGCTTGCTGAATGCAACACGTTAACTCTGATAGCTCATGCTTTAATGCACTCAACTCGGAGGATGAAATTGCGTCACCGCTTTCGTTTGCATGACGAACGAAATTGTCGAAGGCCCTCTGTACGTGTGGAAAGTATTTTGTACCGAGTCCGGCGGGCTCGCATAGTACATTTGGAAAGGATCCGAAAGCTCCGTTTCTGCGTCTCAGAAACTGTTTTGGCAAAGCAATCAGTATGCGATTCAAGGCTGAGGGGAAACTGGATGAGAGGAATGTTTGAAAGGAGTGAGTACCATTGAGAAACATGATGGCACCAAGCTAACAATGCCTAAATCACTGAAACTTCGCAGATTGCAGAGATAATAGATGCCATGAGAGAGGAAATATGCATCGCGATGCGAAACCATAAGAGAAAGAAAGGAAGTTTAAAAACCAGCCCTGTATTACAGGAATGCTCAGTGAAGGATCTCTTGACTTGGGGTACACCGACGATATTGCACTCATCTGAGTATGCAGATCTGTCACGTACGGCTGGAGAGATTGGCACTGATTGTCAGTTGTTTCGTGGTATGCTTTGCACCATCAAAATGCAATACTTCCACTCAAAATTGGCAGCGACCAATGAGGCGCTGAATTTTGCATGCGTTCAGATGGAGGTCGTTGAGAATTCGATTACTTGAACAGCTATACCAGCGCCTGTGTGAAAAGTGAGGTCACGAACCATATGGCTAAAGCTAGACGATCTATTGCAGAACTTCGCCAATCATGGTACCGGCGCGACACCGCGTCGTGCATTTGGTGCAAGAAGAGCAAGTAGAACTCTCAGCACTGCTAGTTCATGCACCAGGCTCCGATTACTGAGCCATATGCTGCGCAGGCCGGTGCATCAACTCCTGAGACGTGCACTGCTTCCGCGACCGGGGTCCGGATGGAGAAAAAGGAAAGGAGATCAGTCGATGACATGGTTCATAGAAATGATGACTCATCTAGATTTCGGTGTCGACTTATGCCTTCCGACTAACAAGTTCGGGTCCCAAAGGCGATGAATACGTTCGACTGGCTACACTTGTGACATGGCGAAGAGCCGATCTCAGTGATAATCGTGCTGTGAGCTGTTTTGGCCCTTCCTACTTAAACCCTTTCACATATCAGTACTTGTGCAAAAAACTAAAAATACAGGAAACTATTCGTTTTTGTTATTGTACAGCACCGCGGTGCTGCAACTCCAGCGTTTCCCACCTCCAGCTATACCGTGCACTAACTTGAGGAGGCAGAAATGGAAAAACCGGAGCCCTAACGACAGAATTAGGACCATAGCGGGACTATGGATCTGACGCAAGACTAAAGGAAAGAGATGCACAAAACAAACCACGTCCTCAATCGCGGTACTTCATGAAAACAAATAAGACGCGTTTGCTCAATGCATCTGAACATCAAAGGTCCTCGTGAAGTCGAGTGATGTCATAACGTATGTGCGCATTATAAGGCAGCAGTAAAAATTGCATACCCAGGAAGCAGGAAAGAAAAGGTGCGGAAGCGTTGACATAGATGTATGCCCCACGAGATCAAACGATGGTCAACCAATCCAGATGTGATTGAGTGCTTCAACTATTTGAAACGTCTGGAACACAACACTCGTTTGGGCCTCGATCACTGAGGATCACGTTGAGAGGCAAGTGAGTCGTAACCTCGAGGTCGCGAGTAATAACCCAAAGAGGAGAATGCGCATGGAGTATACTAGATTAAACTAGTTCAGTGGCGAATACGGTTGCATCACCTGGTTAAAGTGCCAAGGAATGGCTAGACGAAGAGCGATGAAAGTGCTAATTGAACGCCTGGATGTAATTAAACTGCAAGTTACGTCCAGATGCACTAAAAAAGCACACAAAATATAGGCCGCCCTTAGGTGTGGTACAGAGGTCGAAAATATACAAATTGGTCATCATCCATCCCCAATGTGAGGGAATGAACAAACTATCTTGGTTTCGATGAAGCGATGAAAGACATCCGAGGTGTCCTAGGTTATCTTACCGGTATCAATTCTGCTGGCTGGCCTGCCGAACAACCTCCTCGTGGTGCCAGCTGGGCGGTTCGGGTATTTCCCGTTCTGGCTAAAACTTCGGCGACAATGTTCCAGAACGTGGTAGGCTAACGCCTGACAAACATACTCCCTATAGAAAGCTACAAGCGTTCGCTTGACAACATTGCAACATGGCGGATGTGACACGCCACTAAAGAAACTCAGCGCCCCTTGTCTTCTCAGAGACACTTTATACCGGCATACAATCCGGGCATTAAGTTCTGTCTTTGACTTCAGGAGTGTTAGGCCCCTGGTATGGCTTTCCGTCACCGGCTCCCAACGGATGCGAAACCCTTATTTCGCCCTGCCGCTTTGCAGGTAAGGCCATTCGACCAAAGGCTTGGGGCCGTGGTCCTCTAAGATAACCCACCTACTTCGGCCCAGGCAACCGGGTAGTATCTCGCCTACTGATGAACCATGAAACCACATAACTACGCTCCTTTTCGCTTTAATGATCTACTATTTTGCGACTACGCCAACTTTACAGACACGCGGCTCCAATTCACACACTCTTTCCTTGTATCACTCATCTTATTGGTGCCTGATTCTACAAATGTGTAAAACCCTACCTCCGCCGATGTTGTTCTTTCGCCACCCGTCAACTCAACTACACAATCCCTGATAGGGCGCTGCCAGCCCCGAAGTATGCCATCTTTGCTACTGCAGGCTGAAATGCAATTAAAACTAAGCACCCCCTAAGTACACACATTATCGCAGATCGGACGGCAAGCTGGACTTACAGGCACGCTGGAGATCCTTGCAATTGATGTTTGCTGGCTGAGTGAAAGTCGACTCCAGGATTCCATCACAATGTATTAGCTGACGTCACCAGTCCAACCACACACAAGATTTTATGTTTGCCTTTCTGCTGACCCTGAGTCCGCCGCATCTGAGCAAACTGACGTTGAAATCACCCTCAGTACGAGAGCTGAGGCCGCCCTACTTGATTGGATTCCCGTCAACATTTGGTTATGCGCTATGAGGCTCAGTGCTCCTTGTCAGCTTAGCAGGCAATGAATCGACAGGTGTGCACTCCTTGTGATCGCCAACTACGCGTCCACTGATTGCAGCTCGGATACAGTCAAGGACCAGTTCTATCAACACTCTCATGAGCAGCTCCTAACACAGATAACACAGATATCACTATCATGATAGAAGACTTAGACGCTCGTATTGGTCGGCTGCTGCCATGTGAACGCCACCTCATCGGATCGCATGGGTATGATGATGTACGTTCTGACAACGGAGAGAAACTGCTCAGTCAATGTGTTGACCACCAACTTTACGTCTTCAGTACGAGCTCTCGTCAACCTGGGTGCCACTATGTTACCTAACGGTCTCCAGCATCAACGCATCGTGCGTCACCAATCGATCACATAGCCGTAAGTCGCAGGTAGGGTACGCGATCGCCGATCAGCTTGGTCAACGCGCGTTGACCCAGATCATGCAATGGTGTGTGCGATAGTTTGCATGCGATTCGGCCACTTACTCATGGTAAAGCAAACCCGACTGAACACTCACGAGTTGGAAAACCCAACAGTGAAAACGCATTAACGACAGACGATTCGCGAAAATCTCGCTCTCCCCAAAGCTCTGGATGTTGATCAACACAGACCAAATTTGCAACAAGCACTTCTGTCCACCGGCTTATCCAGTTGCGGACTCACCCGCTGCACAACTGCAAGCTGGATTTCGGTAAGATCCTGGGAACTGCTAGATCGCCGACGGGCTGTGCCGTCGGTGCGGAGCACAATGAACTTAGTCGGTCTACCTCTCAACAGCTGAAGTCAAAACTCCGTTCTGACCGTGAATCATGGTGGTCAAAACGAGCTGCTGAGATGGAAGCCGCCGCATCAGATGGAAACTTCCGAAGTATATTTTACCTCATCGAGAGCCAGAGTTGCAATTCACAAGCTATCAGTCATATAATATGTGAATTCGTGAAAATATTGGTAACTCGGGATGTGGATGAGGGTATTCGGTTGTTCTCCGAGCTGGGTGATTTGGCTGCAGACGTTTCATCGTCAGGCAAGACGACATCATAAGTGCGATTTATGCGGGTTTCCTGCTCCGAACATTCTCCGCGCATTTCAGGATGCCTTGGCCTCAAGGCTGAAGAGTGCCTAATGCAAAGACAGTGAAACACGTTGGACACACATCCGCGGTGACATGTAAAACTCTGCAACCCTGGTCTGGGGCTTTACCAGTAGTCATTTCAACTAGTGGATCTCTGCATGATCTCTCCAAGTTCTCGAGGCCCGTCGATCAATTCTTGCTAGCGTTAAATAAACTTCACTACACAAGACTACTAACATTAAGCTCAAACAGCTTCTCCCAGAAGATTAAGAGGCTTGGAGGACGCAGCGGGCCGCTGAGATGGAGCAAGCGGCCACCTCGGGGAATTTCCGTAAGCTTTTCCTTCTGATCCGATCAAATGACGGCAAGAGGCCGATTATAAGCAAAGTTACATGCAAGACCAATGGCGAGTCAATCCACTGACAAAAACACAGAACCGAGTATCAGGCCGAGCATTTTGGGAAGCAGTTTAATTGACCAGCAGCACCGATGAGTTCCCCTTCTGGAATCCCGAGCGCGCCCTGGTTCGTAGACGGTTCACCGTCATGCGAGGCTGAGGTAACTCATGAGCTTCGCCACTTAAAGCACTACAAAGCCCTTGGCCCAGATGAACTCCTCTGGATATTTGCTAAAATGGAGGCCCATCACTTGTCCAGGAGTTAACTTCTCTCCTCCAAGAGATCTGTGTCTCGGAAGTTTTCCCATCTGATTAGAACCTAGCGGATATTGTGGCCGTCTTCAAAAAGGGTACCCGAATTGACTGCGCCAAACACAAAGGGATTAGCCTCATCTGTACTGCTTCCAAGGTGCTCGCAGCCTTGCTTCGAAAGAGGCCCAGGCTGGTATGAGAACAGAGCATACGTGAAGAGCAAATTGGGTTCCGCTCAGGTCGAAGTTGCATCGATCACACCTTTACATTCTGTCATATACTCAAAAGTCGTCAAACATCTGGCCGGCCAGCGATCGTTGACTTCGTAGGTATACGAGCCGTGGTTGATTCGGTTGACAGAGCTGCTCTTTGGAGTTGTCAACTGAGAAGGAGAGTGCCAGAGAAGTATTGCCCCTTACTTCAAGCCACCTACTCTCAATGCTCGAGCCGAGTGCAGGTGTACGGTGGACTTTCGCCCCCTTAAGTATCAAAAGTAGCGTGAGACAGGGTTGCCCAGCATCCCGCTTCTTGTCCAATCGCCTTCTGGACGAAATACTGGAGAGTGTTCTGGAGAACAGCAAACCCAGCGGTGTCGAGCTGCTTCGGAGGGATCGACTCTGGGATTTAGAGTATGCAGACTACATCACCGTAATATGGGATTCCTCACAGACCGCCAAAATTGTCCTGTGTAGGTTGGAGGTGTTTGTCTCCCAGATTGTAATGACCATCGCACCATAGAAGCGCAAGGTCCTCCTGCAGTACTGGATAGGCGCTGCTCCCATCCTTACCCTTTCAGGTTATTCATTGGAAGTGATAGACAAGTTCTTTTACTTCGGAAGCTGCCCCAGCGCTAACGGTTTGACGGATGAGGCTTCTTTATGCGTCTCCAATGCTCGCGTTGTTTTTGCTAATCTCCGCCATCTCTTGGGTCGAGGCGAATTGAGTCTATCTCTGAGGGGTCGAGTTTACAATGTCACAGTGAGAGCAGTTCTGCTCTATGGCTGCGAGACTTGGCCTGGTCGCGCAAAGGATGTTGAGAGACTGTCTGATCTTGATCACCGCTGCCGTTGGAGCATTCCTGGTGTACCATGGCAATATCACACCAGTAATGAAGATGTTCGAGGGAGGATTTTAGGAGCAAACAGACTTTGCCGGCCACTGAGCAGCAGAAGCTCTCTGCACAGACTTTAGTTGCTTGGGCATGTTCTTCGCATGCCACCTCATCGTTTACGGCACCGTGTCTACTTCTCGCACGCAGAGGTCGGGTGGAAGCGAAAGCAAGCTGGCCAACATAGGACTTGGGCCAGGAGCGTGAAGGAGCTAACATCAAAGCTAGCCGTCGTCGGGCGCTCTCGGCGTCCTGGATGGAGTGTGAAGGATCAGGAACACGCATGGTTGGAAACATTTTCCGTTATGGCGAGAAACCGTGTGCAATGGCGGACCTGTTGTGATTCCTTATTTCCATAAACACTTATTTATATACTTTCCGTCCCTCTTCATTTGTTTATGGTATTCCCCATACATTGAGGCACTACGCCAAATATACTGTTGGTCGTGCTGGATATATATATATATATATATATATATATATATATGTAAAAGGTGATCAATAGAAAGACAATTTGTGTCGTGTCATTATAAGTCCCACAACACACAAACTGATTCTATTCATAAACATATCGAGTATGAAGGATAACGCGAATGGCATCCATATTCAGTCGATGGTCCATAGCGAAGTTAAAATAAAAGGATGATGCCAGGCAACCCTGTCGCATACTATTGATGATCCTGATGGATCGCGAATGACCACTACACAGCCGCACAAGGACTGAGTTCCAGGTGCCGACTGGTAGCCTTAGTGGTCACAAGTCCACATTATTATCCGAGCGATCGGGGTTGAGCCTGCTTAGGGACCGGGCGTCCCTAGCAGTATCCTTAGCCCACGTGCGACTGGTGGTGGCTACGCGGCATCGAAGCGTCGATACGTCGTACCGGCCTATTGCTGATGCCTTTCACACGATTTTAAGCGAAATATGTAGACGGAGCTGAACCGTGGAGTGAAAGCAGTCACAGAACGAGCAGTAAGAGTGAGATCTCTATGAACATAAAGATAATGTGACCAGGAGGCTGAAAAGAAAGCAGGTAAACAGAGAATTAACAACTCTCTTGGTCCAGCCTACTCTATCATGAACAATGAACAGTCAGCAGAAATATGTCGCCATGTAGCCGCGGGAGCTCATTCGGGTTGCATCCGACTCGTAAGAGATGTGTAACGGGGTGAAGTAAATAATTTGCAATAGGATCGATAGAGACAAACGCGCTAGACTATGAGTAAAACTGAGCCATGAACAGAAATTTGGATGAATAAAGCAAGAAAGGAAAACAAAGTGAGGCAAACACAGTAGGCGGAATGTTGCCTTAGGTAAACTAACCTGGAAGACCGTGCTTCCAAAGTGTCCAACAACGTAGTAAACGATTCGGCAGCCTCAACTAGCGCATCGAAGCTCTCCGTTATCCAGTCTGCGAAGAATTCAAAAAAGAGGGAAACCGCCAACATAGCTAACATCACGCTTGTCTGTGCCAGCAAGGAAAGCGTGCAAGAAAAAATGTGTTAAAAAAGGACACGTTAAATTGACAACAAACGACAAGCAGAGTTCAACCAGGTGTCGTCTAGCAGTGGCTCAGGTAGAAGTTAGGTGCGTGGCAACCAGTTTAACACTACGGTCTCAGTTTCCGCATGATGTCATATGGTCCAGGTACCTCATATCGTCTTTCGATTTTAGGAAGCAGCGAAATACTTTCGCGTCACTAACCGACAGTTCTAAATGACAAGTTCAGAGTGACCGTGTGATTGAATTCATTCAAGAAAATGAAGAAGACCTGTTCACCGTGAACAGGTCGCCAACTCAGTGGCTTACACGAGCCAGACTAGATGGGACAGTCACATCACAATGAACCAAATGGAGGAAGCAGGAACAGGTAGAGGACAAACATCCAGTTGAAAACCGACATGCTTTCTCGCCAACGGTAGCTGTGGTGGCAGCCGTTCGAATTCGGGCGGTAGGATGGCTTAGCATGCACACTAGAATCCCTAGCTACCACGTTTGTTGCCTTTCTGAGGCTCCATTTCAGGACTGCGGGACCCTAATTACGTTGACGCCCCCCGCTGTTCTAGGGACCAAATGTTGCCTGCTTCTGTCTACACCATTTCCCGGCCAAGTTGTCCTCTTGGACAACAGAAATAATCTGAGGGGGCATTCAACATGAGTTTACTTAATTAATTTGTTCCGTGCGTAGGAGCTGAAGCGTCCCACCTGCACCCTATGACTTAGTGCATCTGAGGTCTAATTGGCTGAAGGCGACGGGCTATACACACACACCTACACACCTGCACAAGTGACTGGCGTACGCACGGAACTAATTAATTGAGTAGACTCATGTTGAATGCCCCTCAGATTATTTCTGTTGCCCAAGAGGACAACTTGGCCGGGAAATGGCATAGTAACACAGACGAAGCTACAACTCATGTGACTGGCGTTAGAATCTCATTGGGGGACAAAGCTGTGACATCGCTACTGGATTGGTTCCAGATCGACATTTGAATGTCTGCGGTTCGATTTCAAAGCTCATACAGGATCAATAGACATCGTACAGAGAGGCACAATTTGTTCGTGATCTACGCCTACGCTCCAAATGACAGCAATAGTGCAACGGTTAAGGACAAATTGTATTTCGGACTCCATAAGCAAATGAGTAAAGCCAAAGACTTAGATGTCACCGTCCCTGCCATAGACTTCAATGCGATGATCGGTGGTCTGCTGTCAAGTGAACGTTATCCCGGTTGCCGTCATGCACTTGATGACAGTCGCTCTGGCAACGGAGGTGCCCTACGCACGTAACGCGAGGACAACCGGATCTCTCTCAAGCATGAACTTAAGATATTCGAGGAGACATGTGGCCACCTGGTGTCCCACTTCGCCAACTCAAGCGTGGTGGCAAATGGAATAGATAATAGTCAGCGTCAGGTGGCGGGGCAGTGTACGCGATTGTAGATCGATTTGGTCAACCAACCTCGGAGGTTCCTCGCCACCATAGCCCCGTACACTGGACACCAACAGTTTAGCTAGACCCTCCATCCAACTGGCTTATCTATCTTGCTTATCAGATGCGTTGACTAGTGCTGTACCCTAATAAGACGAAAAACATTGGAGTTTCTTGTAGAAAGCCTTGCTCTCTTTTGGTCACCTATTCTGTGGGATCATTGGACAGTCTATGAGAGGTCGGATGTACGTTCGTTTCTTCGAACTGTTTTGCCATCGCCGAACTACTACGGCTGATTCAAACAGCAGTGAAGTCCGCCGCAATCTCAGCCAGCAACTTCAGCAAAGCCTGCGCAATGAACGCGAAACTTCAGAGCTATAGAGATAAGGTCAGTAATTCACACTGTAAACTTCCGCAAACATTTCCAGATCGTTCGGACCATTGTCTACAGAAGACATGGCTGGTTGCGACGTTGAGGGATCACAAACCACAAATATGCGTTAGCGCATGAACCTCTGGGCTGAGCACTTCTATACTCAATTCAGCTGACCTCCTTCTTCCAGCTGTCTAACAAGCAGGCCAAGTTGCGCGCATTGGAAAATTTCACTAGAACCATCCACCGAAGCGAGGTTTGTATTGAGGTTCATCACTTAAACCGATTCAAAGCTTCTGCTTCAGACGGACTTCCTCCGGAGCTGTTCAAGTACGGTCGGGAGGCAATTGTCAACCAGTTAGTAGCTCTGTACTCCAAGATTTTGTGTGAAGAAAGGGTAACATCCTCTGGGGGTGATTTGATTGTCGTCCCGAGCTTCAAGAAGGGTGCTCGGTCCTTATGTGCTAACCACATAAGAATCAGTCTGATACTTGTCGCCAGCAAATTTTTAAAATCCATTCTACACTGAAAACCAAACCCATTTAGAGAACCACAGTATCTGAAAGAACAGGCTGGTTTCCGCCTCGGTCGAGGGTGTGTGGACCACAGGTTTACGCACCGCCAACTCCTCAAGCAGTGTCACTTTCACCGTCAACCTACCATTATCGGCTTTCTGGACACCCGAGCCGCATTCCATCGGCCTGTTTTATGGCGTTGTCTATAAAAGAATGAAGTACCCAGAAAGTAAACCGCCATCAATCGAGCATAATATAGTAACGTCATGGATAGAGCAAGGAGTTACGGTAAGCACATTTCATCTTTCACTGTCAATGGCGCTGTACGACAGGGATGCCCATGTCCCCGTTTCCCTTAGAACTTGCGATTAAAGATGTCCTCCAGTGTTCTTCAACCAGGCAACCGCGCGGCTAACTTTGACTATGCTAATGACATTTTCGTGCTCGAAAACGGCCTCCAGAGTAGGTAGATCATTCTAAACGGCCTGGCGACTGAAGCTACCAAGTATGGCATGACTTTCGTCCCATCGAAATGCAAAGTCCTACTCCAGTGCTGACTTTTGAGTGTATGTAGCTTGAACAAGTAGAGAGTTTAATCTACCTTGGAAGCTGCGTTTCTGCTGATGGTACAAACTGAAGGAAGATTTCTCATCGTATTGCCAAAACCTGATCGGCTTTCGCTAAGCTAACTGTGTCGCTGTAGTGACGTCTCACTATCGGTAAAGAGCCAGTGTTTGTGTGATACGGAGGTGAGTCCTAGTCAGTCCGGGTAAATGAAATGCGTCGGATTTCGGCCTTTGACAATGCATGGCTACGGAGGAGAACTTGTGTGCACTGGAAACACCACAATTGCAACAAAGAAGTTAGACATCGAATTTGAGGTAATATAGCCCACTTTTTCAGCAAGCTATAACGCTGCGCCAACTAAGATGGTTAGATCATGTCCAATGCATGCCGTGCGAGTGACTACCATGGCAGGCTTTATTAACTCGCGCAGTACCGCACTAAATGAGATCACGCGGTGGTCAAGCAATGACATGGCGACAAAACGTCAAGGCGCCGACTTTTAGTCAAGCTGTTGTCGGTCCCGTACATCATCCGGAGTGGAAAAGCAGGGATAAAGAACATCTTGGACAGGAAAATCTTGAGAACAGCGCGCGAAACCCTTCTGCCGAACAGTTCGTTGAAACGGGAGAAACTCGAACCACTCAACTGCTACCACGAGGTATTTTGGCAAGCCAAACTGCACTGGACTAATAGCCGACTGTGTGCAGTTGGACTTCGGGGAAAAAGCAAAAACAACAGACGTCGTGAGAAGAGCCCCAACGTGATTATGAGTATGGTCTCGGCATACGCTCCATCTGACTGAAGTCGTGACTCGCTCAAGGACTATTTCTGTCGGGAACTTTAACAGCTGTTCAGCAGATCTTACAAATCCGACATTGTTGTCCTGCTGAGAATCTCAACTCACGGGTCGATCGCTTGTTACCGTGTGAAAGTCACCTTGGTGGCCACCATGAGCTCGATAGGGGCCGCTCAAATAATTGTGAAAGAATTCTCACATTGTGCGAAGACAATCGATATATTTCAGCGAGCCCCAGCTTTAGGCATGCGAGGAGAAGTTCCGCTACTTGGTGTCCCCCTTCTGCATCGTAATCATGGCCTCAGACTGATGATACAGCAATCAGCTGCAGATGGCAGGCATTGCAGATCCACTTTGTTCAAGTTTCTTAACTCGGATCATGCCCTTGTCTGTGCGAACATCTGCATGAATTTCAGAGGGTTCTTGAAAACGAAGCACTGAAAGATAGATACGAATAAAACAGCTATTCTTTTGGTTCAGCAAAGGCATCAATCATGCGCAAATGACGCACTCAGCTGCGACCCACAGCAAGACATTGATGAACACTAGACATTCATGCAGAAAAGCATCGTCTCTTCCGGACTGTCAGTCTGTGACCTTACTCAGCACCCTATGAAGGCCTGGATCACCAGGTGCTTCTTGGATCTATTTGAACGCCGCAGAAATATCCCAGCGATAACTCATCATAATGAAGTGCACCGTTCTGTCAGCCGGCGGTTCAAAGAAAACCTACGCAGTGATCGCGAAGCCTGGTGGTTTTAGTTTGCTCCGAAAATGCAGACGGTGGCCCTCTTTGGTAATAATCGCAAGGCTCTTCTAGCCACATGAGGCCTAGTGTCAGTAAGACTAGTTGCGAAGCTAAGAGTTCGCGGATTGTCAACCTACAGAGACGTTTGCATCGACGGGCTGAACATGTTCACTCCCAGTTCAACTGGCCCTCACCGTCCACTAGTACGCCCTGCGAATCAAACTGCCCACCCTGGGTTGTCACACTTCATCCACCCAGCGAAGCGGAAATTTGCCTTGCGATTCGGTATTTGAAACGATTCAAAGATGCAGACTCAGACGGATTTCTCTGGAGCTATTCAAGTGTGGCATCGCAGTTATTATCAGCCGACAAACCTCGTTGTTCTCCAAAATATGGAGTAAGGAACAGATGCCTTGGGGTGAGCCAGTTGTCCCGATTTGTAAGAAGGGTGCTCGCACTTCATGCAACAATCAGCGGGAA